GTAGAAAACACACACTTGGCATCCCTCAGTGACAGGTGTGTTTGAAGCCAAGTTCTACAAGATCATTGCACTGCGTATGAAAGACATGGTTAGTAAGGCAAGGTCAAAAAGCCCAAGAGTGAGGCCGTATTGGATTGAGAGAACTCTGTGGAGAGAGATGTGTAAGTATTGGGATACTGAAGAAGCCCAAGCCAAGAGTTCAACCACATCAGCAGCTAGGATGTCTGACCGTAATGGTCTTGGTCCTCACAAGCATGTTTCTGGTCCAAAGTCCTTTTTACAAGTGGAGCAAGAGATGGTATGTTACATGTCTGTTTTAAATACTTGTTTTGTTTATTACTTGCTGACATCTCTGTTACTATATTTCAGAAAGTTGAATTGGGAAGACCTCCTACTATTGGAGAAGTGTTCATCAGAACTCATACCAAGAAGGATGGGACATTTGTGGATAGGAAGGCGCAGGAAATCCATCAGGCATATCTCAAGAACAAGGCAGCTAAGTTGGCTGCCCTGCAAGAGAATGATGAACAGTCTGATGGTAATTCGCGTCAGTCTGAGCTGTCTCATGAGGAGGATGATGAGATATTTCTTCAGGTAGTAGTCTTGTCTTTTGCTCTGTAGTCTACTTTTATTTGTTAAGCACTAATGTTTTTTACTTTGTTTTGCAGTCTACTGTCACAAATGATAGAGGGGATTACTTTGGAATTGGCAGCTTAGGGGTTTACATCAACGGGAAGCGCAAGTACGCATGAAGCATCTCTTCTTTCACAACCCTGCAGTCACAGCTTGAGGATGCTAACCGCAAGATAGAGGAACAAGCAGCTCTACAAGCAGCACGTGAAGCAGAGGCATTGCGGGTCGCAGCATCACAAGCAGCTGAGATCAAGCATTTGTCGATGGTGAAGAAGTACCTGAGTGAAACTGACCCTAATTTCCTGGCCTTCCTCAATTCCCAATCAACTCCTGCTGCGGATGATCATTCAGAGGTTCAACCAAATCCAACTCCTGCTGCTAATGCTGATGGTACTACTCCTGCTACTTAGCTTTCTCTCCTCTTAACTCAAAAACTTGAACTTGATCTTTTGGTCTTGTACTTATGGTACAAGTATGTTTGTATTTATGTCTTGTGAACTTGATATTTTGGACTTGTACTTTTGGTCTTGTGAACTTGTATGTTTTTATGTTTATTAAGAACTTGTATGTTTTGGTCTTGTGAACTTGTATGTTTTGTATGTTTGGTTTTAATTAGTAAATGCAAACGTAATTGGAATCAAAATAAGCAGGCAAAATCGATAAATAAACCTCCAATAAGTCGCAAAACGATAGCAATTCAGTCACTAAAACATTCATAAAACAGTCGCCTTGTAGTGTCTTTTTGTCGATTCCGCAGTCACCTATTAGTCGCCAAACTAGTCGCCAAATAGTGACATATTAGTAGCAGGACAGTCGCCAATTTAGCGACTCATACGCGACGTACAGGAGACTTCAAATAGTTGTCGCAGAATAGTCGCTATTTAGCGACTATTAGACTACAATTTATTTTAGCGACGCAGTGTTCGGCGACAACGTTTATTAGTCGCTAATTAGTAGTTATTATGTGTTTAGCGACTCTTTAGTTATGTTTCTTGTAGTCGCTAAATCCATGTTTTCTTGTAGAATTATATATATATAATTTACACTACTACATATTATTGAACGTATTATAGATTTTCACTACTACATATTATTAAACGTATTATGGCATGATTATAAGTTAAGTAAAAGTAATAGTCAAACTTTAAATGAATAAAAGAAACTAACTTTAGCATCAATCAAGATTAATTTTGGATGCTTTCGCCAACATTAGCAAAGTATTGTAGCCTCTACTACATTTTAATGATCTTGCTAATATAGAGATAAAAGTTGTCTCGAAGCTTCTCTTACTAATATTAGTTACATAATCATTTGTTTAAGTTTGTGGTATATTTATTTTGGAAAGATTTGTTGCATAATTATTTGCAATTTTAATTAGAAATTCGTTTGATTAATGGAATATATGTATGTATAATACTAATGGCAAATTCTGTAAATAGTCTAATAAAATTTGTGCAATTATTTAAATAGGTGACAAATCATTCTGAGAGCGACACGTCAGCATGACAATCTTGTTAATAACACGTTAATGTAAGGTTTATTTTTTAGAGTGTTTCTCTATTAAT